GTCCGCCGCTGCTCCAGATACTTTAGACGACTGTTGATGTTCCTTGCTGCGGCAGTGGGTCTTTTGGTTCCATTTTCTGATGCCCCGTGGTTGCCTCCGGCCGTTGTGCAACTCCACTCCAAGTGGTGCGAGAAGGTGGCCCACTGCTTCCGAGACGTTAATGACGTAAGGGATCGCTCGGCAAATGTTGGGGTCGACGCCGATTTGTTTACGATCTCGTTTGCATAAGCACCGGTTGACGATTTTGCGCAGGCAGACACTTTCTCTGATCATCCGTCGGAGGTACTGCACCTCGGCAACTTTATCTTCTGATTTTACTGCAGTGCGTCTCAACACGCCGATAGAGTGTCCTTACACAACTGCGCTGATGGCTGATTGGGTGGTTGCTGTCTTAATGCATTACTTGTATCGTGTTTGTCGTTTTCCAGAATACTTTAGTCTTTAGGCCACCACAATGTTTGTAACAGACGAGGACATCAGGGAAGGCCGATTTGTTATGCCAGTAACTACAGTAGCCGGGCAGCTGCCAAATTTCAAAAATGTCTTGTCCTAGTCGCTCACAGTTTATGTTTGACGCAGTTGTCTTGATTATTCAAGTGGTAAAACAGCTTTGATGACATACCCACTGGACCGGATTTCGAGGCCTCTGGATACTAAACAGACAGTCAACTGCACGTCTCAAAAAAGCGCTGGAGCATTTTTTTAAGATCTGGATATTTCGCTTAGAAAATATTTGGTGTATTAAGCTGGTTAAAAACGACACAAATTGCGAAATTGTTGGATGGTCAAAATAAAATTAACCGAGCTGATACATCCAAACAAATGATATACGATGGAATCAATGGCAGCAAATTGCAACCCTATGTGTATAGTTTTTAATACTTACTTCATTTACTGCCCTCAATCAGGCAGAATTTAAGCCAAATATGTAAGTGCAGGAGACGAAATGACGCGATCTATTCGGTGGTAATTATTTAGGTTTCCATGTGGGTAAATGACCCATGCATTTAAATGAAATTTTCAGGTGTTATCGTAGACGCAAAATGTTGTGTACACTAAGGTACATTGCCTTCGCCACATTAATTTTATTATTATTTCGGGATTTCGAATACGACGAGGTTAATATCGTACATAAAATAGTTGTGAAAACTTAACGATTTACAGTAGTTACGGTTGATTGTCCATAGATAAGCATAATATTCTCCTTGTATACCAAAACCTTCAAAATAAGAGGGGTCTTAAACGCATTCAACTAAAAAAAATTGGATGTTTCGGTTACCCTTTGTAATGCGCCTGTCTGTTTGGCTCATGTTTTATGAGTTACCCAGACGCGTGAACTTACTACCAAGAAAAAGACGTCCGCAACATAAGTTAGATACCTATATTCCTAAGATTAACTAAAAAGCTATCAATAACAATGTTAACATTGTAATAGCGGTTCAATTGAAAATTTCTGCGTAGTTGACCTTTTTCGAAGACTACATGAAGA